AGAAGGAGTCTGGGAGAGGTTAAGACCAGCCCAGGCGGTCAACGACGACGTGGAGACCTCGCTTCCGGAGCTTGTTGCAAACAAAGCAAGGGCTGAGGGGAAGAAAGTGAGAAACCAGATCAGAGAAACCAGATGAGGGACAATACTTTGATTCAAGAGGAGAGAGGGGAAAGCAAAGGACACAGGGTGGTCACAGCTGTCTGAAAAAGATCTAAACAGACCAGGAGGGCGGTGTCCAGGTGAGGGGCAGCCCAGGCACAGGGCAAGAGGCATCCACGGAGCAGGTGTGAGGATCGGAGGGCTGGTGCTCTCTACTCTATGACCCCCGATTTGGAACTATGTATGTTCAGCATTTTGGACAGACACACTTCCATCTGTACACCTTGGATATTGTTCTCTAATGCTGTCAGAGAACTTGTCTGTCCTTTAAAATGTTTAATTTAAATTTAAAATCATCTGCTGCTGCCCCTGGTGTGGTGTTCCCTGTGACAGAACTTCAAGCACATTCCTTAGTGACTCCACTATTGTTATACCATCAGGCTGCTCTGTGGTGACCTTTTGTTTCCATGAGAACATGGAATGTGGCCAAGCAGCAATCTGGCCTGACCCTGACCCTTAAATTCTAACAAAGAACAAGCTGGGCTACACTGGTGAGAATCAGAACTAAGAAAATCATATCCAAAATATAAGAAAAAAAGCCTTGTGCCAGAAGGTGAGTGATTGAGTTGTCTGTAAGACCTCAGAGTGATTGATAACCGAATGTCTAGCCTTGGGAATTAACTGAGTAAATTACAGCACAGCTCTGGGTCCCCGCCACCCACATCACGACTCCAGACCCCCCAAGTTATAGGCTGTTTCCCCCTGTCTAGATTTTGTAGGCTGGGACAAGGAAGGGAAACAGCTTGGGTCAGTGAATTCCAACAAGGTGGGTGAGGTGGGGCTGGAAAGAGGAAGTTTGGGTGGGAGGAGATGGTGAGATTAGAGAAGACAGAGGGTATGGAGCCCTGGTGGCACAGTGTTTAAGAGCTCAGGCTGCTAACCAAAAGGTCGGCAGTTCGAATACACCAGCTGCTCCTTGGAAAACCCTATGGGGCAGTTCTACTCTGTCCTGTAGGGTCACTATGAGTCAGAATCAACTCGTGGCAACAGGTTTGGGGGTAGGTTGGGGGCTGGCCTGGGGGACGGACCTGAAGGTCCACATCTGCCTTGGCCTTGTCCCTGGGATCCATCTCACCAACCAAACTGCCCCTGTCCAGGAACACCAATCCCTCCCTCCCTGAGTCTCAATGAGCCCACACATGGTTTCTGCAACCAGATCCCTAGGTGTGGGTGCCGTGTCTGGCCCCTGTCCACGCAGCTGACTTCTCCCAGCAGACCCCTGCGTGGGGTGGGTTTGCAGGGATTTTCTCTGGAGCAAGGCTGTCTGGAGTTGGATCTGGCTTTTCCACTTACTAGGTGTGTGATCTTGGGCAAGTTTTTAATTTCGCCGGTGCCTCAGCTCCTTAAAACAAAAACAAAACAAAAATGGGTCCCTGGGTGGCACAAATGGTGTGCTCTTGGTGCCGCATAACAAAGACCTGGTCATCTGTTTCTGTAAAGATTACAGCCAAGAAAACCCTGTGGAACACAGTTCCACTCTGTAACACATGGGGTTGCCATGAGTCAGAATCAACTTGATGTCAACTGGGTTTCTTTTTTTTTTTTTTGAGCCTCAGCTCCTTAAACTGTAAAAATAAGAATATAATAGTACCCATCTCATAAACTAAAACCAGTTGCCATGGAGTTGATTCTGATTCATCATGACCTCATGTGTGTCAGAGTAAAACTGTGCTCCATAGGGTTTTCAGTGGCTGATTTTTTTGGAAGTAAATCACCAGGCCTTTCTTCTGAGGCCCTTCTGGGTAGACTCAAACTTCCAACCTTTTGGTCAGCAGCTGAACGCATTAACCATTTGCACTACCCGGGGACTCCACCCATCTCATAGAGGTGTTTAATAAATTGATATAAGGAACATGCTTAGAAAAGTGTCTGCTAGACAGTACACACCCTACAAGCGCTTGTTAAATAAATGGGGTTTGCAGCAGGGCCAGTCAGGATTGAAGTCACAGCTCTGCCACTTACTAGCTGGGTGATGTTAGGGAAACCAGCCTCCCTTTCTTCCTTCCCTTGGGAGCCCTGGTGGCACAGTGGTTAAGAGCTCGGCTGCTAACCAAACGGTCAGCAGTTTGAATCTACTAGCTGCTCCTTGGAAACCCCATGGGGCAGTTCTACTCTGTCCTATAGGGTCACTACAAGTTGGAATTGACTCGATGGCAATGGGTTGGTTTTTTGTTGGTGGTACTGATAGGTACTATTCCAGGCCTAATTCACTTAATGCCCACAACCATTCTATGAGGTAGGTTCTAAGCTGTAATTTGCAGACGAGGAAACTGAGGCAGTGAGAAAGGGAATAACTTTCCCAAAGCCACCTAGCTGGTAAGCCCCGCTGTCTTCTTCACAACGCTGTATGTGTTTCCTGGTGGGCCTCCTGCACTGAACCCGCTGCTCCGTGATGGTGGGGACCCAGTCTGTCTTATTCAGCCAACACAGTGCCTGGCACAACGGAAGGAGGAGCTCTGTAAATTTTTATTGAATGAATGAATGAATACTTTCCATTGTGCCAAGCCTACAAAGCTCTTTTTCCCTGCTGGAGAGGGGCATGATTAGATGTCACAGAAGTGATCACCCCAGGACCACTACCTGGTCCCATCTAGGAGGTGTCTGAGTACTGTATCCTTCCACTCGCTCCTGAGGCCAGCATCTCCCAGGCCAGATCTTCAGCACTCTGATTCCCTGGAAAGTCTGTGTTTTCTTCTAAGTCTCCTTATTTCTCTCTTAAGCCTAGCTTCTCAGGCATCTGCTGAGTTCTTCAGTCCACAGAGTGAAAAGGCCCATCTCCCAGATTCACTCGCTACACACCCTGGAACAGCTGCCCAGTAGTCTGGGCTGTGGGTCTAATCTGGTCTCTCTTCCTTTTCTCTCCTCCTGTCTGATTTTTCTGCAATAGCTTCTCCTCCTCCCCACAGACTGACCCACTTCCCTGTACCCTTCTATTCTCTTCCACACCCTGCTCTGTTCTATCCTCCAAGTCTTCTACCTTTTCAGCTACCAATTTATTTCCTCAATCATTTTTCCAGCTTTTCCTTGTTCCTTAACCATTTTAAACACAGTTATTTGTAAGTCTTTTCCAGATGTTTCTATCATCTCAAGTTTGGAGGACAGAAGTTCTCCTCATCGTGGTGTATGCTGTCTCTTGCTTATGGTGGCTCAGTTCCTCAAGCGTTTTGTAATTTCTGATTATGAGCTGAAGCCCGAGGTATTCTTCTCATGGGTGGTGCAAGTGTCCTGGGTTATGAAAGCTCCCTCCAGACATGATTTTGCCTTTGTCTTTGCTTAGACTCCCCAGTCTGGACCAACCTAAGAATTCTCAAGTTGTTTTGTTTTTGCTTTTGTTTTCACCTGAAGACTTGGGCAGGGACAGGTTTTCTCGCCATCTTCCAAAACCAGTGGGTGGACTTTTTCTAGGTCCCATTCCCCAAGGGTACAGACTTCAAGGATCTCAGCTGAACTTAAGACTACTCGTTTCAGCTTCCTGCCGCATGAAAGCCAATGCCTTGGTCGCTGCCCCTGCATGGTCATTACAATGCTAGTGTTTGGCCCCTGGCCTATTTCCTTTTCAATACCACCACCCCAGGGCCCCTGCTGCATTAGCTCACCCGCCCCCTCTGCGTTTCTGCTCCCTCTTGATTTCAGAGAATAGACACATTATATTTATATTTTCTACATATTCAGAGTGAGAGGGGCCATAGCATCCCATTTCCAAATGAGTACCTCAAACATATGCATTCACAGAGGGAACATGGAAGCTAAAAAATTTAGTCCACAAGAAAAACCCCATTTCAGGATACAGCTAGAGTGGAAACACCTTGGCCCCTCCTCCCATAAGCAGGGGCCCTGCCTCCCCATTAGGCCAGGAGTCAGTCATGGACATGCCACGTGGGTAGTTGCTGTTTACCCTGTGCTGGGTACCATACCGGGTGCTTTACACAGCTTGTTGTGTCAAGTCGATTCTAACTCATGATGACCCCATGTTACAGAGTCGAACTGCTCTGTACAATTTGCTTGGCTGGAACCTTAACGGAAGCAGATCGCCAGGCCTTTTCTTCCACGGTACCGCAAACAGCTAGCTGAAAGGTTGGCAGTTCAAACCCCCCCCAGAGGTGCCTCAGAAGACAGGCCTGGCAATCTGCTTCCAAAAGGTCACAGCCTTGAAAACCCTATGGAGCAGTTCTACTCTGCACAGTTGGGGTCGCCATGAGTCAGAATCGACTTGATGGCAACTAACAACAACAGCACAGCCCTATGAGGCAGGTTCTAGTATTGTCACTGAGGCACGTTTGAGAAAACTGCCAGAATCACAGTTAGCAAGGGGCAGAACTGGGACTCAGACTTACATCGAGCCCAACCTCCTACCAAACACATCTTGTCTTCCTTCTTCCTTCCATGAGCCACCTCTAGCCCCCTCATGCTGCCCAGTCCTCTGGTGACAGGGCCCATGTGGTTTCTTTCCCCTTATCTGTAACAGCAGCCAGTGGGTGTGATCTGTGTGCAACCAGCCACTGTTCTGCAGAGGTTATGGTCTGCGATTCTGCCCCTCGAGGACCACTCCACAACTCGGAAGGGACTGTGGCACTCACACAACTCTTTGCCTGAACCCTCGTTACCGAGAGACAGGAGGCCCGTGCCAAGGACGATCCGAGGGGAGATGCACGCTGGGAGTGGATTTGACTCTGGTCAGGACCCAAGGCACCCAGCCCTCCCCAAGACACTGTGTGAGCCAGGCCTGGCCTCCAGACACAGCCCCTCTTGCCCCGCCCCAGCCAGGGTGGTGCTCGTGCAGGAAGGACTTTAAATCCAGCTGCCAGACCCCTGGACGGGAGAGGCAGGGAGGACTGGCCACCATGCACAGCTCCCACAGCCTCCTGCTGCTCCTGCTGCCGCTGCTGCTGCTGGCCACCACAGGCCCCGCAGGAGCCCTCACGGAAGAGGAGAAACATTTGTTGGTGGAGGCACACAACTTCTATCGTTCCCAGACCAACCCACAGGCCGCGAACATGTTGAGGATGGTGAGTGCAGCCTGTTGAGACTGGAGGGGTGCTGGGCAGGGCCTCCCCACTTCCCCTCCCTTCCCCCATGCTGAAACTATCTCAGAGGCTCATCCCTCTAGTCAGTGACAGAAAGCCCCTGACATTGTATCATTCACAGTTCCCCACAAATAGTCCCATTATACAGATGAGAAAACTGAAGCTCAAAGGGACTTGCCCAGGTTCACACAGCTGAAAAGCCAGGCCTGCAAGCCCCAGCTTCCCATTCCAATGACCTATCCCCTCCTCAACACTTCCTAAAACGTATGTGCCACTGGGAGGGGAAACAGCAGGTTCCTGAGGCCTTGGTGGAGCCGGGCTTTCAGATGCCCTCCAAGGAGATGAGAAGAGGAAGCAGAGCAGCAGGATGGGTCTGAGCACCTGGGGTAGGAGGGAGGTACTAAGGAGGCAGGTGAGAACAGGAGCTAGAAGCAGAGAGGGCACTGGATCACACAGTTCAAATTCTGTCTCAGCAATTTACAAGACCTGTGATTTCAGGCGAGTTCCTTCACCTTGCTGACCCTCAGTTTCTCATGTGTAAAATGGGAGTTGGAATTAGAGATATATGTGTATCAACATGGAGCTTCCAAGTGGTCCAAATGGCTAATGGGCTCAGCAGCTAACCAAAAGGATAGAGGTTCAAGTCTACCCATAGATGCCTCAGGAGAAAGGCCTGGTGATCTATTTCCAAAAAGTCAGTCATTGAAAACCCTACGGAGTACAGTTCTACTCTGACACACATGGGGTCACCAAGAGCTGGAATCCACTCACGGCAACTGTGGGTTTGTGTGTGTGTGTGTGTGTGTGTGTGTGTGTGTGTGTGTCAACATGGATTGAATGTCACACATATAATATTGAACAGAGAAAAGTACTATCTCAGAAAATACACATAGTAGGGTATATTTACATGAAGTTTTAAAACATGCAAAAAGGACTATTAATATGCTGGGGAGAGACACACGCAGATGTAAACGTACATGGTAAATGTGTGGAAGACAGAAAGCAGATTCGAGCCAGTGGTTAACTCTGTCAGGGAGAGAGAGGTATTGAATGGTGGGGGTGGGGTTTGGGGGTGGGCTTCAACTGCACTGAAAACCAAAAACCACACCCGTTGGTACTGAGTCAATTCCGACTCATAGTGACCCTACAGGACAGAGCAGAACTGCCCCATAGGCTTTCCCAGGCTGTAAATCTTTATGGAAGCTGACTGCCACATCTTTCTCCCGTGGGGCGGCTGGTGGATTCGAACCACCGACCTTTCAGTTAGCAGCCAAGCTCTTAATCACTGCAACAGCAGGCCTCCTCAACTGCACTAGTAAGGTTTTATTTCTTAAAGTGGGTAGTGGGTCCACAGATGTTTGTGCTCAGGATTAAAGTTCACCCCCTTCCTCCCTTCCCTGACGGCTGGACTGACCCATCCCCTCCAGCCATCTCAGGTGGCCTGGGAGATTGGTGGGAAGCTCCAGGAACCCATAGCTGGTGCCTGAGGCCAAGGTTGCACCTGGAGAACATGGCAGTAAGCCTGGGGGCCTGAGACCCAAATTGCAACCTTAACTCTATTGATCTAACTAAGTGACTCTGGACGAGCCCCTTACCTTCAGGGCCTCTGTTTCCTGATCTGTAACATGGAGCTGGCAATCCGTGCCCTGGGGGTCAGGCAGGATAACATGTAAGAAAGATCTAGGAAGGGCTATGTGAATGCACACAGCACCACCATTCACAGCCCCATTGCCCTTGGCAACCAGGAACTGCTGACAAAAAATCAGGACGCCCCGCACCCTGGCCCCATGCTCGTACCAACTCTACCAACAACTCCCTGTAAGGCCTGGGACTCATTGCTGGATCTCAGTTGCCCCATTTGTATAATCCCTGAGGCCCTTAAACCTTGCTGGCTGAGGCTGGAGGCTACAAAGGCTGGGTGCTGGGTTGAAGTCTGTCTGCTTGTGAGCAGAAGTGGACCTTGAGGATGGGGCAATGCTCTGGGAAGCAGGTCAGACATTGAAAGGATCCCCCAGGCCAAGGTTGCTGCATGGTAGGAAGTGATCTGAGGAGAGGGTGATGGTAAGGCCAGGTTGGGATACCAGCATCAGGCTAATTTGGGGGCAGAACTCAGAGATGCAGAGACTCTGAGGCCATATGGTCTGGGTTCAAATCTTGCCTTTGCCATTTACCTGTGTGACTTAGGCCAAGTTACTTAACCTCTCTGTGCCTCAGTTTCCTCATCTGTAAAATGAGGATGATAACAAGAACAACTCCCTTGCAAGGCTGTTGTAAAAATTAAATGATTAAATATGTATGAAGCACTTAAAACAGTGCCTGGCACACAGTAATTGCTCAGTGGGTGTTTGATTCACAAAAGAGGGAATGGATTCAGGCTGAGGCAGGTGGGGTTATCATTGACTTCCCTCTCCCTCAACCTCCACATCCAATCATCACCAGTTTTACCCCCAAGAAGGTTCAATTTTCCTTGAACCCTCCCTCTCCCCCATCTATTTGGTCCAACCCTGGTTCAGTCCTTCATTTTTGCTCCCAGCGACTCCTAGGACAGCCCCTACCTGCTCCCAAGCCCCTGGCCCCTGCTGCCAGAATGGCTGATTTAACACGTTGGCCTGACCCTGCTCAAATCCCTTCAATGGCTCCCACTGACTCCCACTGGCTCCCACTGCCTTGGGATAAAGCTCCAGGTCCTATCTGAGAAGGCTTCATGTGCTCTGGCCCCAGCCCCCTTCTCCAGCCTCCTCTCCTGCTCACCTTTGCGTTCATCTGGATAGCTGTCTTTCCCCAAACGAAAACACTGTTTCTTGCCTCCATGCCTTCGCTTATACAGCACTTTCTGTCTTTCCCACCTCCACCTGGGTAACATCTCATCGTTTAAGACTTAGCTCAGTGTCTCCTTTCACACCTCCAAGTTGCTAAACGGCCCTCTTCAGTGCCCCTATAATACTCATTGTATATTTATTGATACATTTTCCACATGGTGGCCCAACTACCGATGATAATGTAAACTTGGACTTCTTGGTTCTTGCTGCCACCCCAGGGCTGGCACGGTGCCCAGGACTGTTGAATGCATGAATAAATGGATGAATGAATGAACAGACTTGCTTTCAGATGGTGACCATGTAGCCAATGTGGGTGGGTGCAGTGAGTATTGCAACTCCACAGTTTGGGCTCTGGACGACCAAAAAGCCTTAAGACTCTGCAGAAAGACTCTGTAATGGTGGGACTGCAGGCATCTAGTCAGAATGGAAATTACAGCTGCACTCTGTAGGGGACACTGCTTTAGGTGTCTCAGTCAGCTATAGTTGACAAATATCTGTTGAGCAGCTACTAGGTGCCACCACTGTGCCAGCCAGTGGGGATACATCACTGTCCCTACCCTGAAGGAGCTTATGTCTAGCCTGAAGCCTTGCAGGTCCTTCCGGATACCCTGATCCTGGTCCCCAGCACCCTGCTCCTTTCCCACTCCCAATCTTCCAGGGGCCAGTGATTTGGGACAAAAATGCCTAGAGAGGGAGAGGCACTCACTGGATGTTACAGCAGTGGGCCGGATCCCAGCCAAATGTTCCCATCCTTGCCCGAGACAGCTGCTCCTAAAAGTCTTGAGTGGGTGGGGTGTGGGTGTGGCCACATGGCCCCCTCTCCTCGGGGTCACCCAAACTCTTGGCAATTTATGGGCCATCTGGCTCTCACAACTGGCTGTGTCCCCAGAGGGTGGAGGAAGAGTTGCCGCCAGGACAACCGTTTCCAGGAGAAGCCAAGGACAAGGTTTAATAGGATCCAGACCTCCCTCCTCAATCCTCTGGGTCAGATGACTTGTAAATAATCCCTGCTTCCCACCCACACTCCAGCCTGTTCTCCCAGTTGGGGACACAGAACCTCAGAGACCCTCTAACCTAAACTACACCCCCTATCGTCTTATCTGAGGTCCCCACTACAGAACACTGCCTTTGGGATTTGACAGCTATTTGGGTTACCAAGTCTCCAAAAGTAGGCCCCTTAGTGAGGGTCACACAGAGATATTTACTCTTCTTGGGGAAAGGAGTTGTCAGTTGACAAGAGTTGAGAGGACATGGAAATGGCACTTGGGAGGGAAGCCCTGAAGCAGGTAAAGGCAAGAAGGCTGAGTTGTACCAAGGAGTGAGAGGGAGTACAGAAGAGAGAGTAGGGTGTTGGCACCCCAAGTCAGACTGATAGGGCAAAACCGGCCAAAAAACCAATCTGTCCTCCGAATATCTCACTGAATGAACATCCTGTGATCTTCAAAGCATGTTCAGGTACCCTAGGAGGTGACCCTGGGAGGTGGCTGGGACATCGCTGCCCAATTTAAATGGAGTTCTATTAATAATAGTTTTGTCACAAACATCATCTCATTTAATCTTCCCACCCCATGAGAGTTCAGAAAGGTTAGGCAATCTGTCCAAAATCACAAGGCTGATGAACGGTCCCAAGTTTGGTTAACTCCATCCCCAGGGTGGCACCCTCTCACCTCCCCACAGAAGCCCACCTGCTCCAGGTGATGGCCAAGAGTCACCCAGCTGAGGGGAGAGGGGAAGGTCTCCAGCTTCCAGAGGTGCCAAGATACCTTCAGCTTTCTACTCTGATCCCCCTAGAATCTGTAGGCATCCTCATCTTCTCCCACCCCCCACTCCTCCACCTCACTTTCCTTCTCAACCTGCGCCTAATAGTTGTGGGACGAGGAACTGGCCATCTTTGCCAAGGCCTACGCTGAACATTGTGTGTGGGCCCACAACCCTCATCGCGGGCGGCGCGGCGAGAACCTGTTCGCCATCACGGGTGACAGCATGGACGTGCAGATGGCTGTGGCAGAGTGGCACCGGGAGCGTGATTACTACAACTTCACCACAGGTGCCTGCCAACCTCGACAGATGTGCGGCCACTACACACAGGTGCACAGTCAGCTGGGTGGGGCCTGGGGGTGGCCATGTGGACAGGGGTGGGGCCCGGGCCAGGGAGCCCAAAGGAGGGTTGGGTGGGGCCTCCTGGTGTTGGGCTGGGGCCATAGGGCAATGGTAAATATAAAACTCAATATTATTGTACTTTTGGTTTGTTACTCCTCTGTTTACTCCTATATGATTTCAAAAGTAAATCCATAAAACAGTAACTATAAATCTATTCTATACACAGTGTATAAAAATGTAGTTTGTAACAATAATCAATAATATAAAAGAGGAGGGACAGAAAGATATAGGGGCAGTGTGTATGTATACCATTGTAACTAATTTGGTATTATTCAAACTAGGGTGTTACAAATTGAAGATGTTAACTGTAATCCAAAGGTAACCACTAAGAAAATAACTAAAAATATATACAAAAAAAGGAAAGAAGGGAATCAAAATGGTACACTATAAAAACTCAACTAAATAATTTTTTAAAAGGACAGTAATGGAGGAATTGAGGAACAAAAAAACACATAAGACATACAGAAAACAAATAGCTAAATGTCAGGAATTACTTTAAATGGAAATGGATTAAACTCTCCTATTAAAAGGCAGAGATTGGCAGATTGGATTTAAAAAAAATGATCCATCTATATGCTCTCTACAAGAGGCTCCCTTTAGATACAAGGGCACAAAGAGGTTGAAAGTAAAGGGATGGAAAAAAGATTTTCCATGCAAATAGTAATGAAAAGAGCACTGGGGTGGCAATATTATTATTAGACAATATAGGTTTTAAATGAAAAAAGTTTACAAGAGACAAAGAAGGACATCATATATTGATAAAAGTTTCCATCCAGCATCCCTAACAACAGAGTCCTGAAATACATGAAGCAAAAATTGACAGAATTGAAGAGAAAAATAGTTCCACAATAATAATTGGAGACTTCAGTATGCCACTTTTAATAATGAATAGGACAACTAGATAGAAGACAAATATGTGTAAATTAAACAACACACTCTTAAACAATGAATGGGTTGAAGAACAAATCAAAAGGGAAATCAAAAAACCTCCACCACACTGAGCCCAGACAACTAAAAGGTGCTTGGTAACCAACACCGACTGCTCTGGCAGATCACAATAGAGGGTCCCAGATAGAGCAGGAGAAAAATACAGAACAAAATTCAAATTCACGCACACACACACAAAAGCCAATGCTTGCTGGTCTGACACAGACTGGAGACACCCTGAGAGTATGGCTTCCAGACACCTTTTAACTTTGTACTGAAGTCACTCCTGAGGTTCACCCTTCAGCCAAAGATTAGACAGGTCTATACAGCCAACAATAACACACATGAGGAATGTGCTTTGTAGTTTAATTCATGTATACAAGATCACTGGGCACATCAGCCCAAAAGCAAAGATGAGAAAGCAGGATGGGACAGGAAAACTGGATGAATGGAAACAGGGAACCCAGGATGGAGAAGGGGAGAGTGCTGACACATCACGGGGTTGGCAACCAATGTCACAAAACAATTAGCGTATTAACTGTTTAATGATAAACTAATTTGGTCTGTAAACTTTCACCTAAAACACAATTTAAAAAAAGAAAAGAAAAAAAAATACCTTGAGAAGAATGAAAATGAAAACACAACATACCAAAATTTATGGGATGCAGTGAAAGCAGTACTAAAAGGGAAATTTATAACAGTAAATTCCTACATTAAAAAAATGCCTTAAATCAATAACCTAGTGTTACAGCTTAAGGAACTAGAAAAAGAAGCACAAGCTAGACTGAACGGTAATAGAAGGAAGGAAATAATAACGATCAGAGTGGAGATAAGCAAAATAGAGAATAGGAAAACACTGGAGAAAATCAACAATACCAAAAGTTGGTTCTTTGAAAAGGTCAACAAAATTAACAAACCTTTACGTAGAATGACTTAAAAAAAAGGGAGAAAGAAAAGTGATGGCATTACTACTGACTGTACAGAAATAAAAAGGATTATAAGAGAATACTATGAACAAGTGTATACCAACAAATTGGACAACCTAGATAAAATGGCCAAAGTCCCAGAAGCACACAAACTACCAAAACTGACTCTAAAAGAAATAGAAAATCTGAATAGATCTATAACAAATATGGAGATTGAATTAATAGTCAAAAGCCTCTCAACAAAGAAAAGCCCGGGACCAGATGGCTTCAACAGGGAATTCTACCAAACATTTAAAGCAGAATTAACATTAATTCTTCTCAAACTCTTCCAAAAAATAGAAGAGGAGGGGACATGTCCTAACTCATTCTATGAGGCCATCATTACCTTGACACCAAAGAAAACTACAGGCCAGTATCTTCTATGACTATGATGAAAAAAATCCTTGACAAAATACTAGCAACCCAAATTCAGCAGCATATTAAAAGGATTATATACCATGACCTAGTGGGACTTATCACAGAAATAAAAGGGTAGTACAACACATGAAAATCAATCAATGTAATATATCACATTAATAGAACGAAGGAAAAAAAAAAACCACACATCATCATCTCAGCTGATGCAGAAAAAGCATTTTTGACAAAATTCAACACCCTTTCATGATAAAAACACAATAAATTAGGAATAGATAGAAATTTCCTCAACATGATAAAGGCCATATATATATACATATATATAAAACCACAGCTAACATACTCAATGGTAAAACACTGAAAGCTTTTCCCCTAAGATCAGGAACAAGATAAGGATGCCCACTTTCACCACTTCTCTTCAACATAGTACTGGAAATTCTACGGAAAGCAATTAGACAAGAAAAAGAAATAAAAGACATCCAAATTGAAAAGGAAGGCATAAAATTATCTGTTTTGCAAATGACAATCTCATATGTAGAAAAACCTAAAGAATCCACAAGAAAGCTGTTAGAGCTAAGAAATGAATTCATCAAAATTGTAGGATAAAAAGTGTGATGGTTAAGGTTCTGTATCAGCTTGGCTGGGCCATGATTCTCAGTGGTTTGGCAGTTATGTAATTATGTAGTCTGGCAGTTATGTAATGGTCTGGTTTGGCAGTTATGTAATGATGTAATCTGGCAGTTATATGTAATGATGTAGTCATCCTTCATGATGTGATCTGATGCAATCAGCCAATCACTTGTACGGGGAGTTTCCTCAGGGGTGTGGCCTGCATCCAGTATATATATGGATGCCCTGCAAAGCTTTCTTGGTGTGGATCCTGCATCCAGCTCGTCATTATCTGACTTCTGGTTCTTGGGACTTGAGCCAGCAGCCTGCCATATTGCCTGCCAGTCTTGGGATTTGTCAGCCTCTGCAGCCTGTGAGCCAGTGGCCTGCTGTTTTACCTGCCTATGTTGGGACTTGTTGGCCTCCACATCCTGTGAGCCAATGGCCTGACATCTGACCTGCTGATCTTGGGTTCATCAGCCCCTGCAGCTACATGAGTCAGGAGAAGCCTCCAGCCTGATACATAACCCACGGACTTGGGACTTGCCAGCCTCTACAACTGTGTGAGCCATTTCCTTGAGATAAATCTCTCTCCATATATATATATACTCTTCACTGGTTTTGCTTCTCTGGAGAACCCAGCCTAAGACAGAAAGTCAGCACATAAAAATCGGTTGTAATTTCTATACACTAGCAATGAGCAAACCAAAAAGGAAATAAGAAAACAATTCTGTTTACAATAGCATTCAAAAGAATAAAATATGAATAAATTAACCAAGGAGGTGAAAGACTTGTACACAGAAAACTACAAAACATTGCTGAAAAAAATTAAAGATAGCCTAAATAAAATGGAAAGACATCTCGTGTTCATAGATTGGAAGACTTAATATTGTTAAGATGACAATATTACCCAAAGTGATATACAGATTCAATGCATTCCCTATCAAAATACTAACAGAATTTTTCACAGACGTGGAAAAACCCATCTTAAAATTCATATGTAATTTAAAGGATCCCCAAATAGCCAAAACAATATCGAAAAAGAAGAACAAAGTTGGAGACACACATTTCTTAATTTCAAAGTTTAATACAAAGCTACAGTAATCAAAACAGTGTGGTACTGGCATCAGGAGACATAGACCAATGGAATAGAATAGAAAGCCCAGAAATGAACCTTCACATATATGGTCAATTGATTTTTCAACAAGGTTGCCAAGACTATTCAATGAGGAAAGGACAATCTTTTTGACAAATGATGCTGGGAAAACTGGATATGCACATGCAAAAGAATGAAGTTGAACCCTTAGCTTACACAACCTAAAAAAAAAATCAACTCAAATGGATCAAAGACCTAAATCTAAGAGCTAAAACTATAAATATCTTAGAAGAAAACATAGAGGAAAAGTTTCATGACCTTGTATGTGGCAGTGATTCTTAGATATGACACCAAAAGCACAAACAATAATAGAAAAAAACAGATCAATTAGAACTTTTGTGCCTCAGAGGACACTATCAAGAGACTGAAAAGATAACCCACAGACTGAGATGAATATTTGCAAATTATGTATCTAATAAAGGATTAATATCCAAAACATATATTTTTTCAGAAAACTCTTACAACTCAACAACAAAAAGCCAAACAATACAATTTTAAAATAGGCAAAGGACTTGAAAAGACATTTCTCCAAAGAACGTATACAATGGCCAATAAGCACATGAAAAGATGCCCAATATCGTAAGTCATTAGGGAAAATGCAAATCAGAACCACAGTGAGATATTACTTCCCACTAGGATGGTTATTGTTATGGATTGAATTGTGTCCCCCCAAATGTGTATCAACTTGGCTAGGCTATGATTCCCAGTATTGTGTGGTTGTTCCCATTTTGTGATCTGATGTGATTATCCTATCTGTTGTAAATCCTGCTTCTCTGATGTTAATAAGGCAGGATTAGAGGCAGTTATGTTAATGAAGCAGGACTGAATTTACAGGATTAGGTTATATTTGGAGTCAATCTCTTTTGAGCTATAAAGAGAGAAGTGAGCAGAGAGAGAGAAGGACTTCATTACCACCAAGGAAGAAGATCCAGGAAGTGGAATGCATCCTTTGCACCAGGGTCCCTGTGCTGAGAAGCTCCTAGACCAGGGGAAGATTGATGACAAGGACTTTCCCCAGAGCCGACAGAGAGACAAAGCCTTCCCCTGGAGCTGGCACCCTGAATTCAGACTTCTAGCCTCCAAAATTGTGAGAGGAAACCCTGGTGGCAAAGGGGGTAAGAGCTTTGGCTGCTAACCAAAAGGTTGGCAGTTCGAATCCACCAGGTGCTCCTTGGAAACCCTGTGGAGCAGTTCTACTCTGTCCTATAGAGTCGCTATGAGTCAGAATCGACTCGATGGCCATGGGTTTGGTTTTGGTTTGGTTTAAACTGAGAGAATAGATTTCTGTTTGTTGAAGCCATACACTTGTGGTATTTCTGTTATAACAGCACTAGGTAACTAAGACAGCTATCATCATAAAAAATGGAAAATAACAAGTGTTGACGAGGATGTGGAGAAACTGGAATCCTTGTGCACTGCTGGTGGGAATGTAAAATGGTACAGCTACTGTGGAGAACAGTTTGGTGGTGTCTTAGTTTGCTAGCACTGCTGTATCAAAAATACCTCAAATCGGTGGCTTTACTGAACAGAAATTTATTTTCTCACAGTTTAGGAGGCTAGAAGTCCAAATTCAGGGCACTGGCTCTAGGGGAAGGATCTCCTTCTGTCTGCTCTGGGGGAAAATTCTTTTTTTTTTTTTAATCGTACTTTAGATGTAAGTTTACAGAACAAATAGTTTCTCATTAAACAGTTAGTACACATTATTTTATAACAATGCTTAACAACCCCACGACATGTCAACACTGTGCCTTCTCAACCTTGGGTTCCCTATTACCATCTTTCCTGTCCCCTCCTGCTTTCTAGCCCTTGTCCCTGGACTGTTGTGCCCCGTTAGTCTCGTTTTGTTTTATGGGGCTGTCTAATCTTTGGCTGAATGGTGAACCTTGGGAGTGACTTCATTACTGAGCTAAAAGGCTGTCCGGGGGCCATACTCTCAGGGTTTCTCCAGTCTCTGTCAGGCCAGTAAGTCTGGTCTTTTTTTGTGAGTTAGAATTTTGTTCTACATTTTTCTCCAGCTCCATACGGGGCCCTCTGTTGTGATCCCAGTCAGAGCAGTCAGTGGTGGCACCCAGGCACCATCTAGTTGTACTGGACTCAGTCTGGTCCATTAGTCCTTTGGACTAATCTTTCCCTTGTATCTTGTTTTCTTCATTCTCCCTTGCTCCCGAAGGAGTGAGACGAGTGGAGTACCTTAGATGGCTACTCACAGGCTTTTAAGACCCCAGATGCTACTCACCAAGTTAGAATGTAGAACATTTTCTTTATAAACTCTGTTATGCCAGTTGAGCTAGATGTTCCCCGAGACCATGATCCTCACAGCCCTCCGCCTAGTAGTTCAGTCCCTCAGGGAGTTTGGATGTGTCTATGGAGCTTCCCTTGTACAAATTGTGCTGGCTTCCCCAGTATTGTGTACTGTCTTACCCTTCACCAAAGTTACCACTTATCTATTGTCTATTTAATATTCCCCCCCCCATACACCCCTCCCATCCCTCATGACTAAAAAAGATTGTCTCTTTTTGTGTGTAAACTCCGTGAGTTTTTACAGTACTGGGTAAAAATTCTTGTTTCGGCTTCTCTAGCTGGCAGTCCTTGAAGTTCCTAAGCATGTAGACTAGTCTGCCTCCGTCTTCAGATAGTGTCTGAAGTCTTCCCCCTGTGTCTGCTTGCTGGCTCCTCTCTGTGTCTATGCTGCTCCTTATATCACTCAGGAATGATAGGTTTAGAACACACCCTATAACAATATGACCTCATTAACGTAACAAAGAAAACCCTATTCCCAAATGGAATTACATCCACAGGCATAAAGGGTTAAGATTCCAACACATATTTTGGGGAAAGACAATTCAATCCATAACAGATGCTTTCTTAAAACGTTAAACAAAGTTAAACTGTATGATCCAAAAGGTGAAAACAACCCAAATGTCCATTAACAGATGAATAATAGGTAGACAAATTGTGTATATGCATACAATGGAATATTATTCAGCCATAAAAAAGAATGAATTTTTTTTTTAAAAGAATGAAGTTCTGATACATGCTACATCGATGAAACTTGAAGACATTATGCTAACTGGAGTAAGCTAGACACAAAACAACAGATATTGTATGATTCCACTTACATGAAGAATTTAGAACAGGCAAATTCATAGAGACCCAAAGTAGACTAGAGGTTACTGTTGGTTGGGGGAAGGGGTAATGGAAAGTTATCGCTTAAAGAATATAGAATTTCTGTTTGGGATAATAAAAAATCCAGAGACGGATAGTAGTGATGGTTACACAACATTGCGGATGCACTTAACACCACTGAATTTTACACTCACAAAGTGATTAAAATGATCATTTTGTTATGTATATTTTACCACACACACACACAAATATACATATAGTAAGTGGAGGTTGCTGGTCTCAGCCCATGGCAGTGTACAAAGATTGTTTTGACTTTTAAAATTTTATGTTTAATGATGGAGCAGGAGAAAGGTGGGGTGCAGAACTCAAATTCTAGGAAGACGACCAGACTTAATGGTCTGAGACTGGAGGAACCCTGGAAAGCATGGCCCTCGGATTCTCTGTCAGCCCAGAACTAAAACAATTTCCGAGGCCAACGCTTCAGATAGAGATTGGACTGGACTGTGGGACATAAAGTGATACTAGTGAGGAATGTGCCTCTTAGCTCAAGTAGATACAAGAGACTAAATGGGCAGCTTCTGTCCAGAGGCGAGATGGGAAGGCAGAGAGGGTTATGAGCTGGTTGAATGGACATGGGGAATCAGGTGTGGAAAGGAGGAATGTGCTGTCACAGAATGGGGAGAGCAAATGTATGTATAAATTTTTGTATGGGAGACTAACTTGAAATGTAAACTTCATTTAAACTACAATAATAAACAAAAAAAATAAAATTTTATATTTAAGACAGAACTCCTTCTGGAAGATAGGACACCACACCTGGAAACAAGCAGAGCACACCCGTGCTTATTCATGATTTGGAGGAGGTTCCAAAATGGCATCTCTGTTCCCTTCCTTGGGTTTTTCTTGTCGCTGATTCTTACTATTTGGGGTTGCAGATTCCACCATTTTAGATTAATTCCTTTGGATATACTCCTTGTTTAAATGCAAGCGTGCACAGGAAGAATTCATGAGGGTATATCAGATCCATGGAGCTGAGGCAAAGTTCTGAGGGCCTGGTGAATGGCATTTGTGGTTGGTGGGGGAAAGTAGAATGCTCAGGACAAAACTCTCCCTGTTCAGAGTTTTTCCCTGAAGCTGTGTGTCCTCAGGGACCTAGATCTCCCTAGGCTATAGGGCGTACCCTCTCCCCCAAGCATCTAAGGCTGGGGTGGGGAGACATCAGGTAGGGGCCGTCCTGCCATCCTACCCTGGCAGGGGCTTAACTATCGGATTTGCCTTCCTTCAGGTGGTCTGGGCCAAGTCAGAGAGGGTTGGCTGTGACTCCCACTTGTGTGCTAAGCTCCAGAACGTTGACGATTCCAATGTCCACTTTCTGGTTTGCAACTATGTGCCCCCGTAAGTGCTATGCTGTGCTGTGCAGTGACGGGAAGCCCTGAGGCTGGTGGTGGTGGGAGGCGGGGCAGATCCAAGGGGAGGGCTGAAGAACGCAGAGCCTAAGGAAGCGGGAGGGGGCCAATCTGGGGCTTACACCGTTGATGTTGGGGGTGAGTTTGCTCTCACTGGCCGAAGAGGACCATGAGGAGTCCAAGGTCACCCACCATCTTAGCGGCGGGCAGGCAGCTGACCCAGGGATCTCTCGCATGCCTCCCCTTCTAGGTGTGTGTATGGGGGCGGAGGGACGGGCAGACACCTTCCCCCAGTGCCCTCCTTGCCTCCTGCAGGGGGAACGTGATTGGGCAGAAGCTCTACGAGGTAGGGCCACCGTGCTCCGCCTGCCCCAAGGGCTACCACTGTGAGCAGTCTCTCTGTGGTGAGTCGTGGGGAGAGAGAGGGCAGGGATGCCGGCCGGACAGTGCAGAGCCTCGCTGGGCTCCCCGGCTGCGCGCGGACAGGGGAGGGACCCGGCGGGACGCGACTCCCCAGGACCCTCCACCGACCTACTCCACCCGGGTTCCCCCGCCCCTTTTGCCCTCCTTTGCGCAGCCACTTTGGCACCGCTATTCAAATTGACGGGATCTCAACCCTTCAAGGGAAGCTGGGCGGGTGAGGTGGGCGTGGTCTGAGAGAAAGGCAGGTGGAGCCAGTTTGGTGGGCGCGGTCAGAAGGACAGGACCGGGACTAGGCCAGGGATGCGGTGGGCGTGTTAAGAACAGGAATCCTGCTGGAGAAGTTCCCTGAAAAGGTGGAAATGCGAGTGCAGAGAGAGTAAGACATGGAAAGGATAGTGGATGGAGGAGCAGCTATGTCAATAACGTCGTTTTATTATCAATGAAAGACATATTCACTAGAGAGGATGTGTGTGTGTGTGTGTGTGTGTGTGTGTCCTGGTAGGGCATTTGGTCGCCTCACCTTGGTTGTAGTGGGTGAGAGATGTGGGGACTCACTGCCAGCACTAATGCCAGGCCTTGTCTATCTTATCAGAACCCATCAGAGGTCCAGAAGAGCCTCAGGATTTGCCTTCCCTGGTGACTGAGGCCCAGACCTCCCTGGCAACTGAAGCCTCAGGGTCTAGTAAAACCGATGCCCCTTCTTCCCTAGCAGGCGAGGCTCCATCCTTCTTGGTAACAGAGGACCCATCTTCCCTGGCAACCAAGGCTTTGCCTACTGTAAAAACAGAGGCCCCATCTACCTTAGCAACGAAAGATACCCCCTCTATGACAACAGAGGCCCCACCTTCCTTAACAAGTGAGGCCTCTTCCTTTTTGGCAACTCACAGCCTGCTCCCCTTGGATGAGAGGCCAGTTACCTTCCCCAAATCCACCCATACTCCCCTCCCCAAATCTACAGATAAAGTGGCCAGTAGGACAAGTGCTCCCTCCATGAGTTCAGAGAAATCTCTGCACCCCAAGATGTACCTGACAGGGACACAGCAGCCCCTACCCCATGCCCAGGAGAAGGCTGAGGAAAAGGGCCCGCATGAGTTGCCTCCACCAGATGAGGTCCTGGCCTCAGTTTTCCCAGCTCAAGATGAGCCAGATGAGCTGCAGGCCACACTTGTCCACATGGGGAACACCTCCTCCACGTCCCTGCCCAACTCCCCCAACACCTCTGCCAATGCTAATGCTATAGATGGGCACACCCTAGCCCTGCAGTCATCCTTGCCAGGTAAGGCCTGTGTTGTCTGCTCTCCCCATTCTCCTGGCTCCACCATGTCAGCATTCTGTCCCCAGCATGGATGGTATGGGCTTGGTGGGAGCATGCATCCTCTGAGTAGGAGCCTCCTCCCTAGCTGCTAAGCCCCTTCCTTGCATGGCTTTGAGGTGGGTGAGTGATCAGGCATAGAAGTCTCCAGGCTGAGGCAAAGCCTCTCCCTTACTGTAGGTGCAGATCTCCCTGAAGGGCCTGTCACCGAGTCAGAGCTGAACCCGAACCCAGCGAAGCCAAACCCGGTGGGACCCAGTCCGGCGGGGCCCAACCAAGCGGAGAAGCCAAACCCGTTGGGGCAGAACACTGAGGGGCCCAACCCTGCCGAGCTGAACCCAGCAGGGCCAGGGCCGAGCCAGGCGGGGCCAAAACCAGCGGGGCCAAACTGGGCGGGGCCAAACTGGGCAGAGCCAAACCCGGTGGGGCCAAACCTGGAAGGGCCGAACGCCGCACAGCCGGGCTCGGAAGAGTCGAACCCGGTAGAGCCAGAAGAGCTGAACCCAGAAGAGCTAGAATCGCTGAACCCAGAAGAGCCAGAGGAGCCGGACCTGGAAGAGCCGGACCTGGAAGAGCCGGACCTGGAAGAGCCGAATCTGGAAGAACCGAACCTGGAAGAGCCGAACGTGGAAGACCCGAACGCGGAAGAGCCGCCGAATGCCGAACACCACACGGTGGAAGACCCGAACGCGGAAGAGCCGCCGAATGCCGAACACCACACGGTGGAAGACCCGAACGCGGAAGAGCCTCCGAATGCCGAACACCAGACGGTGGAAGACCCGAACGCAGAAGAGCCGCCAAAGGCGGAAGAAACTGCAAAACCCACAAGGCTGAAACCCGATAAGCCAATGATATACTTAAAGCCAAAACCCTCAAAGCTTAACTCAGCCCCTGGTTGTGTCTGGAACCCCCTCCTGGGACTGCTGCTACTGCTTCCCCTGGTGTGGGCTGGAATCTTCTGAAGGGCTCGCCACTCAAAAGCAAGGCCTGGTGGGGGAACCTTAACCTCATGCCCACTCTGGAATATCTTTCTCAAAGTGAGAGGCCACAGCTCCCTGGGCAGGCCCTGCCTGTGGCCCAGCAGCCCTCCTTCACCTAGACCCCATGCCAGCCCCCTCCTCTCCTCAGGAGGCCTTTGCAGAGCCAATCTCTGGCAGCACTACCCCATGAGCACCCTGCTCCCCTCTTCTGCCTCTGGAGAGGCCCACCCCTCAGCTGGCAGCAGACTGTTGTGAGGTGATCCTGTGGCCACATGTGCCCTTTCTGCAGTTGTCCCTGTGGCCATGGGCCTGCTCTCGCAGAGACACAGGATCTCAGGGCTTCCCAGGAACCCCTTGCCCTTCCCAGTCCCCTGGCTGCTTCCTCCAGGGCCGCCCCCAGGAGTGCCTCCTGCTTTCCCACCGTCAAGAGGTCAGTTGTCCTGCCATCTCTCCCACCCTGTCCTCAGTCTCCCAAACAAGATGCTTCTCAGCTGAAGGCCTTCTTGAAGGCAAAGGCTGAAGGGGCTGTGCCTCATCCAGACATCCTGGGGGTATAAGGCCAAGCTGGCTGTGAGCTTGGGCAGCAACTCTGACTGTGCACCTGGCCTGGCCGGCTCCTGCCCCTCCCACCTCAGTCCTGGGAGTGGGTGGGAATTCTGTAGATAGGCCTGCCTGTCTGGCCTTGGGCTGCCTGCCTACACAGGGTAGGGGGCTCTGGCTCAGTTCCCCTTCCCCCTACTCACCTATGTAGCTGGGAAAGGGAACAGCGAGGGGCAGATGAAGGACAAGCCCCTATGGGTGGGGAGGCAGGCACCAGGGAAGGGAAGCAACCCCTGACTCCTGAATAAAAGCCTGCCTAAGGGTATCTAGAGTCTCAGTGCTTGTAATGGCATGGGAGGCAAAGGCGGGCCTTTTGGGAGGCCCTGAAGAAGCTCAACTCTTACCTTACGGACTTACGGCTACTATTCCTTCTCCTTCACATCCCCACTCCCGATCCACTCACCTCTTAAGGGCACCCTTCCTTTCCTTTCTATAAACTGTCCCCCACCCCCAAATCTTCACGGCTACCTCACTTTCCTTCTTATACTCAGACATAGAAGCGGGAGAAGGCCAAGGAAGGCGCAGGGCTGACTCTCCCAGCTTCAGAAGTTACCAGTGGGGCCAAGGCACACTCAGGGCCCAGGATCAAGGTATGGCATACGACCTCCTCACAGAGGTGCCCCTGCCCAGGCCTGTCTGGGAGACAAAGTCGGAAATGAATCTCAGGCATGGCTTTGCCAAACTGGCGACTGAAGAGTTCGGAGAAAGGTTCTGGAGTCTCAGCCCTCTCCCAGGGGAGCACAGCAAACTTGTCCAGCAGGGCTGTGGGGCATGAAAGCACACATGGGAGTGGAAGGAGCAATAACTGAGGGAGGCTTAGGACCAAGGTGGGGAGAGGCATGGCAACTGTCTCCAGGCCAAAGCAGGAGGGTGGGCAGTTAAACAGGAAACCATCCAAGTCCTGACCTAGTAACCTAAATGGTCACTTCCCTCTCTCCCCACCTCAAATGGCTGTGGAATTTATTTGCTTGATTGATAATGGTCCTGGCAAAAATCAGTTAACTAACGTTGAGACATTTGTAATGAAATACTAATTTTAAAAACCCATGACACCTTGATAGAAATTAGGGTTCACACAAACAAAATACCGTTCAATATTGCCAGCAAATATAAAATGAATGTAATATGACAAGACTTTTGTACATTTGACACTTGACCATATTTTTAGTCACCATAATATCTTCTCCAGATTTAAAAAAAATAGTATGCTGATTTCTCTAAGAAAGCTTTTTTTTTCCCCTCTGTACAAAAATCAATGAGGGCCAACAAGTCACAACGGTGCAATAGGTAGAGAGAAAAAAACCACGCCAAACAGGTCTTGAAAATCAATACTAACCAGGAGGAGGAGCGGACAGAGCACTTTTGTGGGGTTTGTTTTCATCACCTTGAGTGTGTGGGGTTTTCATAGCCATAAGATCTTGACCTATCTCATGAATGCCATTTATTTTGACAAAGATATCTAAGATATCATTGCATAATCCAAGGTCAGGAAGAGTTGACCATGTTTTCTTCTATGAGTTTTACAGTTTTAACTCTTAAATCTAGGTCTTTGATTCATTTTGAGTGAATTTGTGTATGTTGTGTGAAGTAGAGGTCCAATTTCATTCTTTCGCATGTGAATATCCAGCTGTCCCAGCACCATTTGTTGAGAGAGGATTCTTTCCCCATTTAATTGACTGGGTCAAAAATCAATTGACCATAAATGTGAAGATTTGTTTTTCTAGATTATGTCTATCCTATGCCAGTAGCACACTGTCTTGATTACTGTAGCTTTGTAACATTTTCAAATCAGGATGTATGAGTGCTCCAACTTTGTTCTCCTTTTTCAAGATTGTTTTGGCTATTCTGGGTTCCTTGCATTTCCATATAACTTTTAGGATCAGTTTGTCAGTTTCTGCAAAGAAGCCAGCTGGGATTTTGATAGAGACTGCATTGCATCTGCCATCTTAACAGTATTGTCTTCCAATCCATGAATATGGGATGTCTTTCCATTTATTTAAGTCTTATTTAATTCTTCCAGCAATATTTTATAGTTTTCAGAGTATAATTTTGTAATTCTTTTGTTAAATTTATTCCTAAATATTTTTGTGATCCTTTTGTAAAGGAACTTTTTATTTTTGGTTTGTTCTTCACTACTATATAGAAATACAATTGGTTTTTAATATTGATCTTGTATCCTGCAACCTTATTGAATTCATTAGTTGTAATAGTTTTTTAGTGAATTCTTTAGGATTTTCTATGTACAAGATCATGTCATCTGCAAATAGTTTTACTTCTTCCTTTCCAGGCCAGATGCCTTTTATTTCATTTTCTTGCCTAGTTGCCCTGATTAGATCCTCTAGTACAATGTTGAATAGAAGCGCTGAGAGCAAACATGCTTGTTTTCTTTCTGATCTTAGGGGAAGCATCCAGTCTTTCACCCTTAAGTACGATGTTAGCTGTTTTTCACAGATGCCTTTTATCAGGTTAAGGAGGTTCCTTTTATTCCTAGTTGAATGTTTTTATCAAGAAATGGTGTTGAATTTTATCAAATGCTTCTTGTCTATTGAGATGATCATGTGGGTTTTGTCCTTTTTTCTATTATAGGGTGTATTACATTAATCAATGTTCAGATGTTAAACCAATCTTGCATTCTTGGGGGTCACTCTCCTCCTGGGCCCTCAGTTTTCTCCAGCTGGCACTGGTGGTCAGGTGTGGTGGCCTCTGGGTAGAGCGGGACCTGTGGAGGTCAGGACCCATTTCCTGGTTTTGGGGTGGGCTCTGCTTGCTCCTTCAAAGCAGAAGCCCCTGTGGCCAGCCCGCAGGAAACCTGCCACATGAGAGAACCTATCGAAGACCAGGAGCCAGAATCTCTTTGGAAGTTTATTTTTTGGGAAATAACAGGAAGGTAGGTGTTCCATACCAGTCAGGCCAGACTGTGACAAATGGGCAAGTATGGTAAGAAGTGCAGGGAGGGGACATGTCAGGACAAGCCCATAAGGAGGGAACACGTTCCAATGGGGCAGGGGTGCTAGCACTCTCAGAGGCCTCCAAGATCAGAGTGGGGAAGGGTCTCTTCTAGCTGTATGCCACACAGCTCCTGGACATCTGGGGACTGGCACAGAGATAGGGCTACTGCAGGGGCCCAGCACTGGCCACCACTGCCACCCTAGGCTTCACCTCAAGGGTGACAAAAAGGCTGTTTCCATGGTCTAGTTTGCTGCTGGCATCTCAACCTTTTTGAATTCAGAAAAATGACCAATGTGTCCCCCCAAGCTGGATCTACAAGAAGTCCTGGTGCTCACTCCGGGGTGAGCCGCCCTGGCCCTGTTACTTTACAGGCTCTCTCACACCACGCAACAGCGTGAGAAAGACTGCAGATGGTTTTACAAGCTCACAAAAACAAGATACTCCCCACAAAACTCCAAATCACCACAGTACGTTTATTTGAAGGAAAAAGAGTAAAATCTTATCATGAATTTTTAAACTGAATAGAATCAGAGACACTGATCGGCACGACTTCTGGGTATTCACGACCTCACAGGGAACCAGATCCTGCACGTGTAGGCGTCACCGTTAAAAGGACAAGCATCAGACAAGGGGGATGTTCTACGCAGTTACATGATCTCCCATTCAAAGACAGTGCTGCCCTTCTATCAGAGAAGTAGTGTTGAGAAAAACGAAGGCTAGTAACAGCCTCCTAGTACAGGCCTAGACATGATGGTGGCCTTGTGAGAGGGAATCACGCCCTATATACAAAGTGAGAGTGAGGCTCCCAGCTGAGCTGTGGGATGAACACTGGAGCTGACTCAGAGGTGTGAGTGGGGGGTGGGATCTGACCCTATTAGCCATTCCCCATCAAGCCTGGGCCTCTCCGAGCTGTTCTCTGGGCCTTTGCACCAAGCAGACTCGGCAAATCTGGGAAGTACAGGGACTATACCCCAACTCCCCAACCCCACCCGACCTTCTGCAGGTCTAACAGGTGACCCAATCCACTGGGTGCAGCCCCACCCTCACCCTTGCTCCCCACCTCTAGACAGACACATGGCAAATATGGAAACTGAAGCCCAGCTGGGCTGCAGCACATCTAGATGTTGCAGGGTTGGAGTCATCTTGTCTTACAGGTGCCCCAAGATGAGCAGGCCTCACCCACGTGGCCAGGCTGAGACGGCATGTTTTTGTTAGAGTGATTCAGTTTACTCAAGGGCAAAGCACGACCCTGATGACACCCGACGGAAAAGCAGGCTGGAGCCACGGAAGAGCTGACCCTGGAGTGGAAGAACAGTAGGGTTGGTGAAAGGGGAAGCCATGCTTCCTCATTCCTCCCCATAGGATCCAGGAGCTCAGAGACTTCGGGGCGGGTGGGGGCATGGGTTTGCATCCTGGAAGGCAAGGTTGGAATCTGCTTTGTGCGCCAGGGCTACTCAGTGGGAAATGCTGACGGGGACACTCACTGCCCTTCTGGCTTCATAGCCTGAGTGGTCTGGGGCTCCTCCAACCTCAGAGAGAATGTGGCGTATGGAGAATTGGACTGTGTCACTGGGAGGAACTGTGACTGTCTCCTACCTCCCTCCTGCCCTCCCATCCACCCTCTTCTTAACCTTGAGGCCAGTCAGCCTGCTAGCTCCTTCCCAGGCCACTGCTCCATTAGACTGTGGGGTGAACCAAAGCCAGGAAAGGACAAGGATCTGCTCTTGGCCAGAAGCGTCGACCCCTGACCTCTGGGCCCAAGAGCTCCCACTGGCAGGAGGGTGCTTTGGCACAGAACCCAAGAGCCCCAAGACTGGCACCATTGTTAAGCTCACCATGTGCCCAGCTTAACGCCCAGGCTCTCCTGGCACCCAGGATGTCCTGTAGGAGGGCGGGTCAGCCTCCAAAACACACGCTGTCCTAACAACCCAGAAAACTCAGCTGAACTAGTCTCAGACCTTGCCTTTTCAGCCTGTGGTAACTTTCGGGATAAGAAGTTCCTGGGCTTTTCTACCTACTACATGGGCCAGAGCCCCCTTCTATTGTCCTAAAAGTCTTCATGAATCAAACAAAAGGAGACCCTACTGTATGCATAATGTTTAATTAAGTAAATCCAGATGTACCCACCTCAAATCCTTTCTGAAATAAGGTAGGACGGACATTTGATTGCCTTGAATTAAGAGTCCTCATTCTCCTTACCCACTCTACTCACACTAGTACACATCCATGACAACCCCTTATCTTTGTAGGCACTGAAGAGCCCACAAAACCATTTCATCTGATGAGTGTGGTAGAAGAACAGGAAAAGCATCCTCCCTCCAGAGCTCGCTTACCTGCACGCTCAGGTACTTCCAGCAGTGTATCCAAGATTTGAACACTGGGGAGTACGGGGGGAGCCCGGCCTGCAGCCTGCCCAGGAAGGAGAGTGTACATCAGATGCAAGGGACTACGGGTGATGGATCAGCCAAGGCAAAAAACAAAGAAACCACACCCGTTGCTGTCGAGTTGATTCCGACTCATAATGACCCTATAGGACAGAGTAGAGCTGCCCCATAGAGTTTCCAAGGAGTGCCTAGTGGATTTGAACTGCCAACCTTTTGGTTAGCAACCACAGCGCTTAACCACTACACCACCAGGGTTTCCAAGGCAAAAGAGGCCTCAAAAAGCAGTGACTTGGAGCTGCCATCCACCCAAACCAAATATTTGACCTGAAGCCAAAGATTCGACCCAAAGAGGCTCGATGCATCCCAGAGGAAGCCAGGGTGCCTGGTGGGTGGAACCCATACACAGACTGGGTTACAGAGGGGCAGAGCCTTCCAAGGACTCAGCTGGGTCCCCCAGTGGCCTTGCAGAGTACCAAGTGATGGGGGCACACTCACCCACAGTTGTTCACAGCCATGAGATCACCGACCAGCAGGAAGGGGTAGGTCAGCATGCTTACTGCAATCTGAAACCACAGAGACCTGAGTGCCACTGAGTCTCACCCAGTAGGAGCTCCCAACCTGGGCCCAAGGGGCAGGGGGACACTGCACCAGCCTCCACCCACCACCAAAGCTGGCCTCCTAAGCCCCACCCAGGCCAATAGGGCAGGGGGAAGGGGAGCTGGCTCGACTTACCCCCATGACAAACTTGGTGTAGCTCCGGATGGCCAGGGCCTGACTGAACTGAAGAGACAGAAAGGAAGACTTGTTTGCCGCAGGTACCTTGGAGTGAAGACCGCAGATACGCAGGCCTAGCCCTGTCTGGCCCAGTCTGCGGCCCCCTTCACCTCCGCTCCAGATTGGCCTCACACCCCCTCTGTACTCAGCTCCACACATGCATGCCACACACACTGCACTCCTTCTCGGGCTGCCAGTGGCTTCCCAGGCCTTGTAGTCAGAGCCACTACAAGACCGGGGATAACGGGGCTGACTGGGAGCTCTGCGACACAGCCAGGCATGGTCAAGAGACCAGCGAAGCAGGATCACTGGCTGCTGGCCTGCATGTAAACCCACTGGACTGGGGGGTCCAAGGGCTTAGCTGGTGTCTGCCTTGGTCAATGTCCAGTTCCTGCACACAGTCAGTGCTGAAAAGACAGACACATACCCTAATGACCCAGAAGGCAAATGCTGGCCCTGTGGCATAAGGCAAGGGGAAACTCAGGGCTTCCTGCCCTTCCCCACGTCACCAAGCTCTGCCCCCTTCAGACACCAACTCCTGAAATTCTACTGTGCCCATGAAACAGCCCCTGACTAGGAAAGGTGACTGTCTGCCCCGGGAACTTCTTGCGGAGTGGCCATCCCACCAGATGAATTTGCCCTGGAGCCCCTGGGTGGAGGTTTGCTCAGCCCTCTGCCTGAGTGGCTTTGGCACTCCAGGCAGCCTCATCTTCAGCTTTAAGCCACACACAGAAAAGCACCTGAAAAATGCTTTAAATCAAGCCATTGACCGCTGCTAGTGCTGACGTCAGCATGGCAGCCCCTGGGCAAACACCTGCCCACCCAGACCAGAGAAAACCAGTCAGCTGTGATCACCACCCCCCAATACCCCAGCTGTACCAGCCTTGCTCTGAGTGTGCCGGCAGCAACTCTCCATCCACAAGGCTCCTGAGAACGGGCAGGGCCGAGGGCATGTGCTACTGTTATGGCAGATGGGGCGGGAGCTGCTTAAATTTTCTTACACTGAAAGGCCAGTCAGTCACCTACCTAAGCAAACTGGCTCGTCACAGTTTATCTGGGAGCGAGGCTTTCAGCTGGTGTGGGGCATTCCTCACTACACAGACACAGACCCAGACACACCCTACCCCCAGACGTGCCAAATCAGAATCGACGTGCCTGGAGCCCAGACACAGACGCATGTGGACGGTGAAAGGCCCCCAGGTATTCTGGCAGACAGGCCCCCAGGCCCCTCACCTAGCCTCCTGGGGTTGGCGACCACTGCTGTGAGAACATCTGGCTACCAGGAATCCTCCGCCCACTGCTGCTCCCTAACCCTTATCTTAGCACTGTCAGCCCATCAGGTCCCTGGATGTCTTTCTTCAACAAGTGCCTTTTAAAAGGACCAGGCCCTCCCTGTGCCTGACCCAACCTGCTGAAAGGTCTGTGTATACCAGACTGTGTCAACCTGTTAACAAAAAAGTGGAGTGAGCCTGGATTGTATACTTCCTAGACGATCTGAAAAAACTCAAGGTCGGGGAAGCATCCTTGGCCGGCACAGGGGAAGACCCAGCCTCAACCCTGCTGAGTCCCAGCTGAGTGACTGTGGATAACCCCTTTCATTGCTGGCTCTGTTTCTGTATCTGTAAAATGGGAACATTAAACCTGGCCTATTCCCTTCACCACCAGGGTGCTGAGGATCAAACACACAATGTTCACAAAACGGTTTTGAAAAGCATAAAGCATTCAAAGAAGGATGAAGGATTATTGTTATTAGCTGGTCCATCTCCTGATCCCTAGTAGGGTCACTGTCTTAAACTAGTCTTAGATCAGCTGGGGTCTGTTTTACTTCTAAAGCTGCCCAGAGACAAACGTTCTATAAACTCCTCCCAGGTCTGGTTATCAATCTAGAATCTCATCTCTCCTGTCCTGTCTCCCCAAGGAAAAGCTAACTCCCGGGGCAACTTCTCAAACCACTCCCTGCGACCCCCTCTACCCCTCAGGCCTTGCTGCTCAGAATCCCAGAGTCCTCAAGAGTCTGCCCCAGACGCTGGGCGTCAGCAGAACACGGAAAAATGGACAAGTCCTTGTTCCAACCAACCTGGGAACCTGGATTCTGGTCGTTTCCCAGCCCCCCTGGGGTGTCACTCACGCTGTCATCCACCAGGTAGGCATTGATGAAATGGGCCAGCAGGTTACAGCCCCACAAGAAAACCACATCTCCGAGGAGGTGAGGGATTAAGCCGCTAAAAAACAAGGTTAGCAAAGATGAGCAGGCAAGGGAGGGGGACACCGCTGGGGGGCTCCACACCCAGGCTGAAGGCAGGGCTGGTCCAAGCTCAACACTTCAGCAGATCCAAGGACACAGCCTCAGGATGGAAGCCTTCAGGTCATGTGGGTGGGCGGCTCAGCCCTGTCCACACTGGGAAGGTACAGGGTTCCTTCTCCCATGGGGAGGTGTTATTTGCCCCTTCTGATGCCACAATTTAGTTTATGGTCTCACAAGCAGTTTTTAAACCCCAGAAGCCGGGCTTTAAGATGTGGATGTTGCCAAATCTAGGGTATTCAAATGCAGATTTGAACAAACGCCTACATGCTGGCAGTTTTCTCCTGGCCTCCTTACCTAACCACCTCTCATGAAGCACTTTGCTCAATGCATGTCTTCTCCTCACCCCTGGAATGTTCCATCGAAGACATCCTGTGCAAGCGCTTGCAAGGAGGGCTGACCTTTAAAGGGGTGGCCTTCAGATGAACAGCTCAATGAACCGATATGGAAGATTCCCCAGGATACAGTGCTGAGGGCAAAAAGCCGGTCTGGATCAGTGGGTACCATGTGCTACTTGTGTTTGCTTGTTTAGGTATGGAATGCCTTGGAAGGATCCCCAGAAGACACTGACTGTCTCCTGGAAGGGGAAGCAGAATTATTTTTGGATTACTAAAAATCTTAATACAAAATTTTTGAGAAGTTCAAAAGAATGTAACACACGCTACGAGGAACATTAATAAAATGAACCTCTGTGAGTGCATTTCCAATCCTGTTGTCTCCACCTGTGCTCAGGTGGGCTGGCTTTGGTGCTTTTAACATGTACATGTATCACCTGTCTCAAAACACGGAGAAGGATCGGGGGAGAACCCAATGGGTAAGCATCTGCTATGTGGGACTCCTATTAACACACCAGAGCAGAACTATATCATATGAAAAATGCCAGAGGCGGTGAGCCGTATGTTTTAAGGTCTGACATACCAAACACAGGGCCCTGGCGGTGCAGTAGTTAAGCGTTTGGCTGCTAACCAAAAGGTCAGCAGTTCGAATCCACCAGCTGCTCCTTGGAAACCCTATGGGGCAGTTCTACTCTGTCCTACAGGGGTGCTATAAATCGTAATTGACTCAAGGGCAATGGGTTTTGTTTTGTTTTTTTAATACAAAATACAGGCACATGGGGAAATATTTATTCGTGTACATTTATATATGTGAGGAGCCCTGGTGGCACAATGGTGAAGCACTTGGTTGGTGGTCTGAACCCACCCTGCAGCTCTGTGGGAGAGAGGACCTGGTGATTTGCTTCCATAAAGATTATAGCCTAGGAAACCCTACGGAGGCAGTTCTACTTGTTATACAGAATGAATATGAGTTGGAATTGACTTGATGGCACACAACAACAAAACAGGTCGTGGTAGGTTCCTGGGTGACGCAAACAGTTTGCACTTGACTACTAACTACAGGTTGGCAGTTCAAACTCACCCAGTGCTCTGTGGGAGAAAGACCTGGCGATCTGCTTCTGTAAAGATTATAGCCTAGAAAACTGTATGGGGCAGTTCTACTCTGTTCTATAGGGTTGTTATGAGTTGAAAATCTACTCCATGGTACCTAATACATACATATATGTATGTACATAATATGTATACGTATATGTGCATGCATATAAATCAGAGTTTCTCAACCTTGGTATTGTCGACATTTTGGGCCAGGTAATTGTTATGGAGGCTGTCCTTGCATTGTAGGATGTTCAGCAGCATCCCTGGTTTCTACCCCACAGATGCCAGCAGCACCTCCCACCCTGAGTTCTGACAACCAAACGTGTCTCCAAGCATTACCAAATGTCCTGGGGTGGGGGGGTCACCTTTCATTGAGAACTGCTGCACACACACATATACATACAGTATTTCTTGGTTAAAGGAGGTACCATAAGTGAAAACATCTGGCAAAGTGTAAAACCACAATACAAACGTTAGCTAACATAGAGCCCAATGTCTAGTGTACTACGCACATAACACCACGTATGTCACTAACTAGGTCTGAAAAAGGCAAAACAAAAAACACACTTGTCAAGCCCGGCTTCTGGGTTCTGTCTAAACACAGTCTTCTGACAATGTGCTTTCTTTCCATGTGGACTTAAGTTGGATGAGAGACAACAAGGAGTGCAGGGGTCGGTGGCCACCGGGAGACCGTGTGCCCTGTCCATGGGCCAGACATTCTGAGTTTTCAAGAGAAGCCAGAAGTATGGATTTTTGTGTCAAATATCCAAAGTTTTAAATGTTAACAACTAATTTGTCAGAAACACAATGAAAGCCAGAGTCTGCTGGCTGGAGGTGGCCTGTGAGCTGCCAGCCCTTGACCCTCAGTCCAGGCCACAGATTTCAGGCCTCGTTGAGCAGTAAAACCAAAGGTTATGCAGTACCCCAGCTCATGAAGACTAGCCCCACGGCCACCATAGCCCTGGGGCAAATGGTCAGTCCATCTCCCCAGTGTGCTAGATAAAGAGTCTGTCGTTTTTATGAAAGCCATGACCTGACAGAGGTTGGGTGGCTTTAGTTCCAATGATCCATAGCTGGGACATGCTATGGAGCACTATGGACTAGACGGCAGGGGCTTGGCCCGGGGCTGCCACCCTCCAGAGCCCTGTGGGAGTCTGAGGCCAGCAGCTGCAGCCTGAGAGGCTGAGAGTGCACCTTTTAGTACAGTCATGCCCTGTGGCTGGGTATGGGGGTTATAAACTCACGTACACAAAGAATCCCAGCAGCCCCTCCTCTTTGAAAATCTTCCCAATGGAACTCAGCACGCCGCTGTGAAGAAGGCAAGACAGGAATATGAGGTCACGTGGAGCAGAGCCCACTACCACTGCTCAGAGTGCTCTCTCCACCCCTCAGGCTTGGGCAGGATGAGGAGGGGAGGGCAGATTCTCTGTGACCAGGAAGAACGCACATGGAGAAGAATAGTGAGCTCTTGTTTGGGGTGAGGGGGAGTTTACATAGTTCATGGAGACTGGGGGAAACCCAAGAACCCAAGGGGCAGAAGACCTAGCAATTCTCTACCATTGTTTTCTAGTGGATCTTAGAAAGGAGCCTCCCAGCTGGGGCTGCTATGGCTAACAACCTTCCAGCAGAGAAGCTTGTAAGCTGACAGCGAGAGAGGAAGAGGTGGTGAGTGGACACAACCACCTTCTCAGAGGGCAGAGAAGGAGCACAGCCCCTGCAGCATGAGGCCCTGGAGTCAGGCCCCCCAGATACAGCCTGGGAAAAAGCATCCAGCCTCCCCAGCAGGGAGCTTGGGGCCTGGTGCCCTGGCCACTGCAGCCAGTTAGAGACCAGAGGAGAGACTGTGGTGTCTTAGGTGTGAAATGCAAAGGAGCCTCAGTACTAACCCCTGTGCCCTGTGGCTAGAAACGTCAACTGGCCTGGCGTGAATGGAAGCTAGTCTAGGGGGAAGGGACAACCTAGAAGAGAGAGAATGGGAGCCAAAGCCACTAGGTCCTTGGGTGCCCTGGCCCTGTCAGGCCTCACCAGCCGTCTTCTCAAAATGGTGACTCATCCTGCTGGGGCTATAAGCCAGCTTGCTGCCTCCTGGTCCCATCTACCAACATCACATTTCCGTCTGGGGGAATGGGCCAATTTCCCATTAATGAGCCCAAAATGAGGTTCCACAGCAGTTGAGCTTCCTAAGGGGGTGGGGGGTGCAGAGAGCAACTGAACCCAGGAAATGAGGCTCTTAGAGAGGAAGAGTATCAGAGGTGTGTTCTCCTGCCACTTGCTCCAGGACCCACCTCCTGTCCTGCATAGAGCCTTAGACACACGTATGTCCCTACAGCACCCAGCTCAGTGCTGGGCACAGCAGATGCCAGACAGTGTATGCTAAACAGCTGAAGGGATGAGCCCCAAACCCATGGAGTGGACAGCCTCTCAGCAGAGGATGAAAAGAGCTACAAGCCGGGTTCTGTGACAGCCTGAAGAAATTATTAGGGCAGAGTCTAGGCGATCTAGAAGGGGCCCAGCTCAGTCCCAGGAATAGTAATTCAAGCAGACTCCCATCACCACTCAACCTCTCTGCAGGGCAGGTGGGCTCACCCAGGGCAGCCCCTACCTCATTCTTCTGAAGTGAGGCAGGCTGAGCTGTCATAATAGAGATAGGTCAGGAAAGGTGCCATGATGGACCCCAGCATGGCCCAACCTGGCTGACTCTAAATGGGACCCGGGCCACTCCCACCAGCCCTGAGAGGAATTACCCACCTGTACTTGGCCTCCCGTCCCACAAACTGGACCATGCAGCGCATTGAGATGACTGAGGGGAAAGAAAACACAGAGGTGATGCGGTAGGTCAAAGCCCATGACACCCGGTCATGTGGTACCTGGCCCAGAGTGGTCACTGCACAGATGGGACATGTCTGGGTGCGAGAGGGAAGAAGGCCGCTGGGATTCCGTCACATTGCACAACCACAGTGCTCCTTTTCTTCTGACTGGGAAGAGTCCAGGTTCCCTTTGGATGGGAGTCCTGGCCAATCTTTCCTCAGGGTGGTTCCAATGGACTAGTCCCCACCTCACTGTCACTTCCCAGTAATTCTACTGCTATTCATCTATAGTCCATAAGCGTCACCCCAACCCACCCCATCACACTCATGTCTTAGATGCAGTCTCCCACGGGGTGCTCACCGTGCAGGGGATGGGCCAGCATGCGGGACACGCACTGCATCATCATCTCGTAGGAGGTCTGGAAGACAGCAGAGTGGGGAGAGTTGGTCAGGCTTGTTTCCGAAAGTGGCACTTATGGGCAGCTGCAAGCTCTTCTGAGGGAAAAACTGGGATCCCACGTGGGGTCAGTCTGCCAAGGATAGCATTAGCTTGTTGCACACCCCCAGGCCCTCCACCTGGAGTGCTGTTGGGTCATGGGCTAGGCCCCAGGGCCGCTGAGAAGGCATTCTAGGTATTCCTACAGTATCCAAGCTGGGGCTCCTTCTGTCTACTGCCCTACCCAATCATCCACGCACAAGGACCCACCTCTGCTTGTTACTCTGCAATGACCAACCTGACTCGGGGATTAGACAGATTAGACTTCCCGCCAAGGGCCACCCCCTTGCCAATCCTAGATGCCCACCTCCTTCACTACTTTCTTCAGAGAAGTCTTCATGTCGTCCTTATTGGAAACCTGCTCGATCTCATCCGGAGGGAAAACCTGAGATATGCAAACACAGGAAGCCAAAAGCAGAGTCCAGCTAAGCTTCACAGAGAGAACTCTTCAGAGAAAGATGTGGCAGGAACCAGCTCCTGATATATTCTCTGCAGTGTCCGTTTTCTGGGCCCGCCTCCGTCACCCCCGGGCTGGGAGCTTGGGGTGGGGGGCAGCCACTGCCTGGTGTTACAACTGTGGGGAGAGGGAAGTACTGGAGGTCTTGCCCTCCCAAGTGAGGAGACTCGGGGTTTGGCCACAAGGGTTGGGAAGCTGGCTACGATGATGGGTGGCATACCGACTAGTCTGGGACGGGAAAAGGAGGACCAGTGCTTATGTGCTGCCTCCAGGGGGTGGCAAGGGGCTCAGAGGACTGTGGGCAACTGCTGCGGCTTTGCCCTTGGCTCACCTTCTTCATGCTGCCCCGGGTCACAGTGGACAGGGCGTTGGACATCAGCCGGGGGCTCAGGCCTCGGAACAGCCCTATCTTCCCATCCACTTGCACAATGTACTTAGCTGTAAGAAAGCAGAGGAGGCAGCTTCATGCCCAGCCCAGGCGCTCCCACTCCTGGATTCCATACACACACAAACCAGATGCAGCTTGTCCCTCGAGTAAATGCTTACTTCAGTCACAGATGGGAGCGCTCGTCCAGGGCCCTGACACCAATCAGGAACCAACCCCCAATTGTTCCTTTCTAGCCCCTACTTCTTTTTGTAAAACCTTCAAAACATGTTTTCGACAGGTAAGTTCATACATTGCTGGGTTTCTTTTAGCTTTGAAAATTCTACTTGACAAACTCGGCTATAGTTTTTCAATTAAGCAACTTAAGTGCTGCAACCCAGAAACGACTCTGTTGCTTGCAGAAGATGTTCTTCTCAGGATAAAGAAAAAACGGAAGGAGACAGAGAGACTGCGCCCACAGGCAATGATGAAGCTTGCAGCCTAAGGGAGGAAAAAAGGAAAGAAAGCATTTCCAGAAGAAAGACTCAAGTGTCGCGACACTTCTGTGCGACTCTGCTGCCCTTCCCTGCAGGCCTGCAACCCCTCAACACGCCAGCGAGGGCAGTCCCCATCCTGCTACTGCTGCACCCAGAACACTAGCTGGCACCTGTTGGCATCTACTGATGGGGGGGTGGGGGTGGGGGGAGGCTGTGGAGAAGTAACTAAAACAGAAGCACCAATGAACTACTCTATAGAAAAAACTTAAGTGGTCAGGAAGCTAGACCCCACCTGTGTAAGTGATGTTTTTTCATTAGGGTCTCTAAAAGGATAGCTTTTTAAATGTTCCGTTGTTTTATTTAATATCACCCTTTTAACCATGTTCAAAAGGGAGATGCGTTTTTATACACCTGCATACCTGACAGTTAACAGAATTCTCTCAATGTGCTCCCCTTTGGAAACCCTGGTAGCATAGTGGTTTAAGAGCTACGGCTGCTAACCAGAGGTTGACAATTCAAATCCACCAGGCACTCCTTGGAAACCCTATGGGGTTTGGTTTTCAGACCCATAAATCTAGCTCTCTAGCACCACCCAGTGGCAGGAACCAGCAAATATGCCTTTTTCTTCTCAGCAACATCTTTCAACCCAGCAATGTAATGCCACTGCTTCCACTGGGCTTCAAGAGCACGTGTTACCAGTACAAATGGTTTCCTGAGAAGGGGGTGGGGCTAGAGAGGAACAGGAGGGAAGGGAACGCTGGGCGACGTGGCAGTATGCCCTGCTTCAGAGTCAACAGGCAGAAGGAAGCTTTATTTTGGGGGAGGGGAGGCCTAGTCACTCAGAAGGTGCTGCAGCAAAACAGAGAGCTCATGGGGATAAAGCCTCACTGTGTCATCTTGATCAAAACATTTAACTTCTTTCTACCCTTGATAAGATCATCGGTTTAAAAAAAAAAAAAAAAAATCAAATTCATTGCTGTGGAGTCAGTTCTGACTCATAGCGACCCTACAGGACAGAGCAGAACTGCCCCATATGGTTTCCAAGGAGCAGCTGGTGGATTTTTGGTTAGCAGCCGAATGCTTAACCACTGCACCACCAGGGCTATTTCTCCCCATTTAAAAGATGAACATGAGTAAGTGAGAGCAGAAAAAGGTACTACAGATGCCCGCAGAGCTGGCCAGGGGCTCCTTCCCATCATTTCAGGGTCTTTCTGCAGTCCCTGGAAAACCCTGTAAAGCAAAGTGTGTGGCTTCCCACCATGACACGGGAGGAAGAGTTACTGTCGAGACAGTTCTGTGAGCCTGTGGGCAGGCAAGTATGGTGTCCAGAGTACCCAACGGGCACCTGCTTACAACATCTAGACTGATCCAACATTTATATAAACAGGGTTGAGAATGGGGAAGTACCTCAGAATTCTGCTCATCTTTGCAAGGGGTAGAAAAATGGGTGTCAGCACCCCTCTCCTCCGAGTCCTTTTAGGAATAGCTGTGTAGCATGGGTAGCCCTGGTGGCACAGGGTTAAGAGATTAGTTGCTAACCAAAGGCTGGCAGTTCAAATCCACCAGCCGCTCCTTGGAAACCCCATGGGGCAGTACTATTCTGTCCTACAGGGTTGCTATGAGTTGGAATCGACTCGACGGCAATGAGTTTGGTCTTTTTTGGTAGAGTACGGATGAGGACAACCCAAGTTATAACTGCCAGTCTCCCCTAACCTAACACACGTGGCCATGTACACAGAAACCAATGATGGGGGATGGCAGCCCTCCAGCCTGGCTTCCCACAACTCCAGTGTTATCTCTGCATGCTTGCTTCATTGTACAGGGGGGAGTGCTTTCTTAATTCTGTGACTTCCCCTCACCTATACTGAAAATTTAAAAATAAAACCAAACACAAATACATTTCCCACAAAATGACATGTTCTGTCTGGTTCTAGACTATAGGCTTAACAACACGGGCAAAACTTAAGAGAAATGGAACATGTGATTCAGCCAACAGTGTGTAAAGTTTAAAAAAAAAAAAAAGTGTCATGTGACATGGAAGTAAAGCCCTCAAAGAAGGATTTTTCAGAGAACATTCTGAACTGACCAAACAGGTAAGAGCAGCGGTGGGGGAAGCACAAGGTGACAGCCTGGAACTGAACTCTGACGGTGAACATGGAAAGAAATGGTGCAGTTAAAGACCACCACAGTCATCCGGCGAGGGTGGGGCAGGAAGAGGGAAAGCAATGGTGAGTTTGAAAAGGGCTTGGTCATCTGACATCCAGGACCAGGGACAAGCAGCACAGGCAGAAGGGTGAGGTTTGCTGGCATCAGGAAAGCGCCACTGTGGTGGGCTTCCTGGGGGAGACACCGCCAGGCCAGCAGAGCTGCTAGAGCCGGGGGCTGTACAAAGGGCTTAGGTGTGCAGAGCTGACCTCCTCTGTAGACAAGGAAAGCCCAACCAGAGCATTCAAGTGGCCTGACCAAGCACTCGAGACTCGCCCCCGGGCGGGCAGGCAAACTAGAGGGGAGGCGCCTCAGCTCCTGGTGTGGCGCCCTTTCTTTCACTACATGCTGTTCTAGAACCAGTGGATGGAGATGCCAGAGTGAGTAGGCGCCGCTGCCTGTGGACACAGGAGAAACAGGACAACCTGGAAGATCCAAGAGAAGAACCAGGAAGGCCCCACAGGATTCTTGCTGGAGCAGCCGGAGGGCAGAAAAGCTGGGCACAGGGCTGTACTGCTCAGAAGGCAAAAGGAAAACCACTCCCACCCCCGCTTCCAGGCACAACTTGGGGAGACATGGACCCGTGTCCTGCACTGTCCCCCCTTTCTCAGGCACCTGTTTGTCCCCTCCTGCAGTCTGGGCTGCCAGGTGTAGGCAGGGGAGCTGGGCCAAAAGTGTATTGTTCACCTGCTCCTGCCCTGGCACCCTGCTACCTCTGACCACTCTTGAATCTCCTTCTCGCCAGCTCCAACTCTGAGCGCCATGCTGACCGCTGTGTTTCCAGGGCCAGCTGCACCTGCTATCCATTGGGTACTTTTTTTATGTCAGTGTGGACTTTCCTGCCTGGGACGCATACTCACCGTAGGTGAAGAAGCTCGGCAGGTAGAGGACCTTTCTCCCCAGCACATTGGTCCCAATGGTGGGGGGCATTGGCTCATGACCCACCTTCAGAATGAACCAACACAAAAGGAAGGTCAGATTCCACTGCTGCTTCCGTCTCGCTGCTTCCCATCTCTTACAGGCCTCTAGCTCTCCTCCCCGATGCTGTCCCTCTTAACGTGCTCCCCATCAAAACATACCAGAAGTTTCCTCAGGGTCTATAACAATCAGCATCACATCACTTCCTGAAGAACAGAATTCCTAGTCCCAGATGCCACCCCTACCACGAGCCAAGTCAACCTTGTTCCCCAACATTCTTACCTTCAAACCCTAGATATTCCGAGTTCAGAGTCCCTCATTTTTATGTACTTCAAACCCCTCTCTGATGTCAAAATAAATCTCAGTTTATTCTCTCAGGTTATATACTTCATTCCAACTGAATTCTCAAATGTGGCAACACCAAAACATGTCACACCCAAATCTCAGTCCCAAACCTCAGCCCCAGCTCTAAGTAATGCATTCCAAAGTTCCATCTCAAACTCAAATTTCTCACTGAACCCACAGCAGGCACCCCCAAGTCTGTCCATCCCATTTGCAGGATTAACAATCCATTACCCCAAATCCCAGTTGTTCTTCAAATGTATCCTCAACTGTGTCCTGGTCTCAGTCATCACAAAACTCTGTGACAGAATGACCCCCCACCTACCCCACGATTTGTGCAGGGCTACTGAACTTCTTGCTGTACAGACGCTGATTATAATTAAGGTATTTGTTCAAATCGTGGACAGGTAAAGGACCACACCATCCACAGCCATGTGAGGAGGGAGGTGGGGCTCTTCTGAGGTGTGAGACAGTTTGTTATGCTGCCAACGAATGGGGAGAGAGACGCTCTCTGCTGCCACACAGGAGGCAAGGTGCCTAGGAGACCAGCGCGTAGGTAGTTAGGGAGTGAGAAGGCCCCTTCCTTGGCAGGGGGCCAGGACATCAGGCCTGTGCCTTTAAATCAGGCCAGCCAGGCCCTTCTTGGATGTGGAAGGGGATGAGGCCTGCATACGTGGAAGGGACTGAATCAGCAGAGTTAGGAAGCCCTGCCTTATAAAATGGACTAGGTGTGCTTCTAGTGTCTTCCTGGCTCAATTTTCTTTCCTTTCCTTCTTAATCAAGTGTTTTTGAAAGTTCAGGCTGTCCCCGGGTGGATGTGATTCTGAACAATCTGACAGATTTTAACAAAAACCAAACCAAACCAGTTGCATGGAATCGATTCCAACTCACGGCTACCTCACATGTTTCAAAGTAGAACTGCACTCTATAGGGTGCTCAATAGCTATGATTTTTCGGAAGCAGATCTCCAGGTCTTTCTTTCGAGCACCTATGGGTAGATTTGAACTCAACCTTTTGTTTTTGTTTTTTTTAAATTGTGCTTTAGGTGAAGGTTTAAAGAGCAAATTAGCTTCCTATTCAATAGTTTATACGCAGATTGTTCGATGACATTGGTTGTGATCCTCACAGTGTGTCAGCATTCTCCCCATTACCACCCTGAGTTCCCCACTTCCATTTGTCTGGTTTTCCTGCCTTCTCATCTTTGCTTTTGGGTATATGTTGTCCTGTTGGTCTCACGTAGATGATTGTTCTAAGGAGCACTTTCCTCACGTGTGTTATTATTTATAGGCCGGTCTATTATTTGGCTGAAAGGGGATCTCCGGGAATGGCTTCAATTCCAAGTTACAAGGGTGTCTAAGGGCTATAGTCTTGGGGGGGGGGGTCCTGTAGTCTCTCTCAGACCAGTAAATCTGGTCTCTTTTATGAATCAGAATTTTGTTCTACATTTTTTCCCCCTACTCTAACCAGGACCTTCTATTGTGATCCTGGTCAGAGCAGCTGGTAGTGATAGCTGGGCACCATCTAGATCTGGTCTCAGGCTGGTGGAGGCTGTAGTTCCTCTGATCCTTTGGACTAATTGTTTCCTTGAGTCTTTGGTTTCCTTTACTCTCTTTTGCTCCAGATGGTAA